TTTCCTGTACTTTTCTTCTGTATTGTTGATATATCATTCAAATAATAAAGGGGAGATTATGACTTCATCCTCCACAGATATTAATAATTATTGAAGTATGCTGTATATTTCTTTCATACATTCAGAACATATCTAACATAAAATTTGATGATGTTGATATTGATGATGAAAACTATGTTTTTTGATTCAGTGATGCGACTTCCCCATTCTCAGCTCTATTTATTGTATAGGTATGTTTTCAATGGATTCCGATTCCATTCCAAATTCCCATTGATTGGAAAGTATGCCAGCATCATGGTGATGCTGTATGTTTATATGTATTCGTGCGACAATCCTTCTGGGAAAAAATCCCTGGAAAATTTTGGAAGCTATTGCCCAATTCGGAATTATGAATATTCATGTGATATATTTGCATACGCCGTACGTTTCTACATTGAAAGGCTCTATTATTTTTTCGAAAAATCCCCGTCCGTACCCAAATCTGCGTGTCCACATGGAAGTGCCATGTTAATTCTTGAGGGGTGTAATTTTTATAAATTGAGGGCTTTGTGGAAAATTATGTGAACGCTGTGGTGATAATGACGTGTGGATTGCTCTCGGAGGGACATTTTTCAGGAAGGGTTAGGAATAAATCAACAAGTAATCTGGCGAGAACAGTTTTTCCTGAAGCGGAAAATCTATCAGAAGTCTGATATAGGACCCGTGCATTGTTATGTGAATTTGCCGAAGTCATTCGGTGGATGACATGTTGTGTTGGAGTTTCTGTGGGAACTGACAGGAAAGAGATGGACACAGACCATTTCAGGGACCCGCTTCGTTCAAATGAACTGCTAATAGTTTTTGTATGTAAGATGAATTGGCACACGGAAAAAAAGGAATTGTTGAATCAAGCAAAATTTAATTGAATAGAGCAAGTAAAAGTGTCATATATGCACGACAAAATATAATCTTGAAATGAGTAAATCTATATCTTGATTCAGAGCGAATTTGGAGTTTGAATCAAGTAAATATGACTTGCATGAACTCTTCTTCGATCAAGCACATCCATGAATTGTTTATGAAGAAATATTGAATTGGCTCAAACAATCATTTTGTTTGATTCAAAATGGCAAGATATTGATTCATTCAAATATTTAGTTGATTCAACGAGATATTTAGTTGATTCAAAGAAATATTTGGTTGATTCAATGAAATATTTGGTTGATTCAATGAAATACTTGGTTGATTCGATGAAATATCTTGTTGATTCAAGAGAAACTTTATATCCATTCGACAAATTGTTTTGTTGAACCAAATTCAATATTCGGGAATTTTCTGAAGTTTCACATCAATAGAATAAACAGAACTAGGAAACTAGTCGACTCCTACCAGAGATCTTTAGTCTTCACTTCTCTTGGCTGATTGAAAACTATTTCGGATTGCTAATCATCCTAAGTTCGATTTATCCAGCTGATATTTCAAACACGAAGAATCAGGCTTCACATATATAATGAATTCGAGGCAGGCATAGACGAGGCGAAATAATCGCCATCTAGAGGCGAAAATTTAAGTTGATGTAGAATGAACAAAATATTTCATTGATATTACATATTTCATTGCTCTATTCAAGCAAATTATCCGTTCGAAACGAGTTCATTGCTACATCGGAATAAGAAAACTTGTATGTTGTTTCGAAGATATATTCTCATCAAAATGATTATTGTTTGATCAAATCAACGAAATGTTTATAATTGTATCAACATCGACATTATTTTTGATCGACATAATTTGTTCTTGAGGAAACCATATATTTTGTTGATGGAATTGATATTATACAGTTGATTCAATTAGACTACATTCTTGAATTGAACAAGCTGCTTCCATGGAATAATCATGTATCTGGTTGATTCAACAAAAAATTGCTCAGTCCAACAAAAATAACTCAAGCATGAATAATTTGTTGATGCAACAAATCTTTTTTTTCCGTGCATTCATCATACAGGACGTGGAAAGAAATTCTGAATTGAGAAAACTCAATCACGAACCTGCGATTGAGGTCTATAAAAATAACAAGTTTCCATCGTTCAAGTTTGATTAGGTGGAAGTATTGAGAAGGAATATTCTCAGATATAATTATAAACATAAAAAAATGGATATATTCATACCTACCACTGTTTTACCACTAACTAAAACGATTCTCTACGCCTCGACAGGTGCATCGAACACTATATCAGGTCTTCAGGAGAAGATAAAAACTATATAAGAGTTCTATCCTAGTGTGCTACTCATATACTAGGTATATGTCCACCAAAGACACTAACCGCCAAGTTATTGCTAGTCAAAGTTGAGTTCAAATGTTAACCTTGATCTTATATCACTAAACAATAAAGAGGACTAAGTGAGATAGGTCCATTATCCTCATTCATTACTCTAATACTCTTTTACTCATTACTCTATTACTCGATTATAAGGAATTTGTGAAAAACGCCTTAAAGAAGGACAATATATGTGCATTACTCAGAGTGGCAGAGATTGTTACTGCGCATGTCAGAATTTCATAGTTAAATAATGCGGAACTTTGAAATCCACTAGCTGTAATCACTCAATTTCACTGATGAAAGTACGAATATTTGGACTTTGTCGGTTGATAATGAAAACTCACAAATTTCATGTCACGATGTGAAAGAATATTGATTTATTGGATTCGAATATATTGAAATAAAATCGATCAGCGTGAATAAAAATACTATTTATAGAAGGAACAAATCAACTAAGTACCTTCGGAATAAATGGCAGTGATATACACATAATAGAAAACACATGAGGAGATTTATCTATGATGGAATTATTCAAAATGAGATGCTTTATCTGAGCAGTCTAGTCTTTACGAAAGCTGCAAAAATTTTCCTACGTATCAAAAGATATATCCTTTCCAGTTCCTATAGAGGATAATTTCAGCGAAGTATGCAGCAGTACACCATATCGCTACTAATAATTCTGTTGTCAGCTGTATTCACGCAGAGTTAAGCCACCTATCTCTAGTTGAGGATACCGTTAACAATTCTTGCCTATGGTTCGAGCAGTGGATGTCAAATTTTGAGTAAAAACTGCACTCAATTTTGAAACAATAGTTATTTGTTTCACTAGGCAGAAAAGCACAAGATTTAATGCTGCGGCTGGCGTTTCATAGCCAAGGCTAGGCTAGGAAACCAGCCAAGGCATTGTATCTCCTTTTGTGCCATGTGAAACATATATTTATTCGGAAAGGAATATTCTCAGATGAATTTTCAACATGTAAGAATGGATTTACATGTGAAGAAATACATTGAGAATTCGCGTTCTCTATGTGATGGAAATAATGATTCTTCATCGGTTTATTAAACAAAAAACATCTACTTTCCTGGCGATATGCCACAACGAACATTGAATTATAACTTTCAAACACAGACGATAATAATTTGAAAACAAAATCTTCTGAAGTTGAGAATTCGCATTCTCCTTTAGATAATCTTATGAAAATGCCCATAATATCATTCTGAATATTCAACAGGAAACAACTACTTTCCTGGCTATGTGCCACGTCGAATATTGAATTATATCTGTTGAACATCCAATAGGAGAGCCTGAAGATTGAAAATCCTTATATATAGATGAAAATTTTGTATATCACTAGAAGATATTACACTCCTCAATATTGAATCTTCTTTTTTCCTGTCACAGGAAAAAAATTGTATTATAATCGGAAGAAATCTTTTTTGCTCACACAAGTTTGAGCTAAAATCTACTAGGTACCTTTTCTCTTGTATAATGAATATCTATTGTTCCATTATCCTATTGAGGCTCTTCAGGATTAGCGATTCTGACAAAGGTTATAGTATTTTGAACTACGTACTCGTATGAAATGAAATTGCGGGGAAGTAAGTGAATCAGTAAGATTTTCTGATTTATTTCAGATAGATGAAGATACACATAGATACATCTAGATATAAGACGTGAGAACACGAGGTTCAGTCAGAATTCCTATAGGAAGACGAATGAGGTTGGGGCTTCCTAAGCGAGCTTGTACTGTAGCCAGCAACCAGAATAGTAGTTATGATGCAGCAAAGAATTATCAACAGATTATAATAATAGGAAAGAGGGAGGAAGAGAAGATTCGAGCAGAATGAAAGAAAAACAATGTTTGTGTGTGCTGGTTTGGGAGAGCGGAAAATCATGACAATTCATCTGTCCATTACCAATTCGAGCATTCGGAAATTGTTGTTAAAAAATTTTGTCAAATAATTTTTGAATATGAGTATATTTTTATACTCTTCAATGATATGGGTAGAGCATCGTGAGGGGAAATGAAAGGGGGCCTGATGATAAACGCGGTTATAACATACAAGGAAGGCAAATATGTCCACTACGAAACAATAGTTACGAAAATTTAAATAAAAACTAGAAAACACGCCTCAATAGTTACCTGAACTGGAAAAGAGAAAATGAATAATAAGTTTGAATTGAAAAAAAAAGATGGTTCCATTGATAGCCAGATTGAAAAAAAAATTGAAGATAAAATGATGAAAATTTGTTGATGAATTCACAACAAAGAAAATATAACCTCCATTATCAACATTTTCCATGATGTTTCTATCAACACACTTTCATCATTTTATTTTCTACTTCTTGCAGTTTGGCTCTCTTAAAAAAATTTCAAAATACTATTCATTCACTCTCTATAATGTTTCTGCGTTTACTTCTAGCAGTCTATTTGTAGTCTTGATAATCTAAATATAGTCATCATGTTACTAGGTGTACCTTCTGAAAAACTCGAATCTATTTACTGAGTACCTATTGATGCTAATATCGAAGATCATTACAATTTTAAGTTGAAGTATACCAAGTGTGCCAGTTTAGCGACCCTGCAAACAAACTGAAACTTCACCAGATTAGCACTGGAGTTCACGGTGAAACTGCTGGGCGTGGAATAAAACCCTGCGAAGTTCTCTCCCCAACTTTTCGAAACTTCTTCTAATACTCACCACGATATTATTTAAGATGAAGGTGAGGGTAGCGGCAGGTCTCGAAGGGGGCGAACTGCAATTTGCTCTCAATACATCACCAATATCGTAAAAACTTTTATCCGTGATAATATTCGGCGAATCGCTCGGCAACACTGTAACAAATATAAAATTTATTAAATTGGTGAAAGTTTCGCTATCAGAACGGAGTTGAGGGACTGTACGAAGTTTTTCAGTTGGAATTGAGATATTATTTTTATTATTATCGGGTATAAAATCGAAAGAAAAGTTGACGATCCTTATTCCCCTTCAATTCGACAAATGTTATCTGTAGGAGTGAGGAGGAAAGTGATGAAAACTCTTATATACTATACCAATCACATTAATTTTTCCAGCAATATTCAAATTGATCTGTCGATAATCATGATATACGCAGTGAACTGTTTGAATCAAAATATCTGTTAAATATTTGAAGAATAGTTTTTCCCTTTCCATTTTTTTCATTGTTTCAGATTCTTCAGTCAGGTATTTCGAATATTAGACAGATATAATTCAATATGCTCCTCGAAAAACTTATTTCCAAATAGGAGGTTATTTGGAAGATGAGAAATAGTTATTATAGATCTCATACAAGGTGGCCCAACGAAAGATTTACACCCCGATTTTGGAGCTTCAAAATGAAAATCTCGGGAAACACTCGGACCCGTTGATTTCTGATTCGTGGTATACATATTGACAAAAAATTTGGATTTGAAGAATATGTATCATCACTGAAAAATAGATTGGCATCATGCTATACCGCATTGCATCAAATGAGCGTGGTCCTGCTATTGCCAGAAACACGCATTTTCCTCTCATAGAGTCTCATATCAGGTACGGCATAGCCTTCTTGGGTTTTGTAGCCAAAATTTGTTGAATTCTATCTTTATTCTACAGAAGAGGGGAATCCGCCTCTGCCGATACCGAAGTGGACTCGAACAAAAAATTCGATCATATATGAAAGCAAAAAAATCTACAATCACTTGCCAGAACAATTCGAAGAAATTGGTTGTTTCAAAGAAGTCAGAGAGGAGGTTACAGAATTCCTCATTCAAATAGCATACTATGACCTGCAGGAATATCATTACGAAAAGTTTTGAAGTCATGTATAATTTATTCCTATAATTGATTTCTTAACTATTATGATAGTTATCTAGTTGGCGTTGTATGTGATATTGATGTTATGCTCTCATGGTATTTTTGTAGCTGTTTTATACCCTTGTATTTGTGTTATCATCATTTATTAACATTTTATATTTATATCTTTCATATCTATGAATTATTAATTGGACATAGTGGATCTTTTTGATTTGGAACGATTTGTCTGCTTTCTTCATCCCCGTAACTTCAACCCCCTACTAGGATGAAGCACAATCCCCGGATTTCGATTAGGGATTGCACAACAAAGTCCAATCAGCATCATCTGTAGTCATATCTAGACTAGAAAGAAATAGAGACTCTGCATAACTGAGATACTCATTTAGGTGGAAAATGGGAGTGACTGATTGCTCAACTACCATGATTTCAACTGGGAATATACGTTGAACTTGTGTCCAGTATGGAAAAGCTCCTAAATTGAGGTTATCACACAATTGAAACTCAACTTCCTTCACCATCTGAACTTATGTGTAGGATTCCTGTCACTTCTCCATTTTTTGTACAAAAGTTCATGCAGTAGAGAAACTTGCAACTTGAATCGAAACTTGCAAACATCGGAACATCGATGTGGCCATGGACAACTGTGATTAGGGCGATTGATAGAAGTTCGCGAACTAAGTAACAATACTCACCAACGACCAGCATCTCCTTCGATACGGTTTTGGTTGAAAACAGGGGAGCATCTGTGGTCACTTCGCAACTGAACTTTCCCGACAGATTGAATCCTACGTCCTGTAATACCACCTGGTGTTCGTTCGATTGCTGCAGCTGGAATATTCCACATTTGTTAACAGCAGTTTACGATCATGTGAAAATTATACTGAGTACACTATGTGATCTTTCGAATTGAAAAAACAAGAATTCCTCGAATACATCATCTGATTGTGTAATGAATCACCATGTTTATTGTTTATGTTTATTGATAATAATACCTAATTTAAATATTGGTGTCAATTATTACAAATCTTTGAACGAGGAATCAACTCAAAATCCAATAGAATTCCTGTTATGATTTTTGAAATATCTTGCATGCGCGAGGTGGAGACGGTGAGAATATGATTTGTTTCTGACTTTCAGGGGTTATGGATTTTTGAGAGTAGAGAATTGAGAGACAGGAAGATACTTTCATTAAAATGCAATCATTCGATAAACATTGACTCCGGATGCTTCATTTAAGTTACCTATCTGATACAGTGACCCTCTGAGCATTCCGGTCAAATGACAATGATCTCAAACATTCTTCCAAATATCCACCTGAACAATATACTGGGTGATGCCAAGACTCTCAAGTGATTATCTCTTCTCTCAGATAGCACAAAGTCATAAAAATAACGTGATGACTACTGATACCGTCACAAAGACCACATATTATGATGTTTCAGCATTGATATTATAAGCGTACAATCAATAATTGTTCAGATGATATCGTAGGTACTGTTGTTTGTATGTAATTGAATTGGATGTGTCGATAAGTAGAACTGAAATACAGTCGTTCTGTCGTTTTTGTGACAAGAAATGTATGTGGTTGTCGTACTGTCCTCATGTAATGTAGTTTAATCAAAAAATTCAACTTGGTCGTCATGACCACGATATATGTATCTGCCATAACAAAAATAATCATGTCAAAGCACAAATCTAATTTGCCTTGCGAACGAACAGGCACATTTCGGTAAATAATATTTTTTTAAATCATTACCCTCTATCTCAAAAACGAAGCTTCAAAACATACAAGTTCACAAAACATTTTCTTTTTAATATCACGAGTATACTTTCGCCTTTGAGGTTTCCTCGATTGAAATATGCGACTAAATCGAAACATTCCCAGATTCTATGTGGCTTACATCAACATTTACGCCAGGAAGCGTAAAAGTTTTAGTGCTGGGATGTTCCTTCGGAGTATACCGATAGAACTCGTGGTTCCCCCTGTACCATTTGACCGTGTAAAGAGGTGCACCCTGTAGATCGTAGCTGCATCTCAGCTTGCTCGTTCCACCTTTATCCACGATGGCTGGATCCATTTCTAGGACGACGTCATTCAGACAAAGGACTTCTGAAACAAAATGTATTTTCGGGATCAAACAAATAGGCAGTGCCTACTGTATTCATGAGAAATTGTGAACAGGAATTTATATCAACATGCAAATGGAAGTTATTGTCAATTGTCATTTACAGTTTGTTGTCGAATAATAATAATAATAATAATAATCGTCTTTATTCATGAAGAACATGATAATACATTGACTTTAGAAAGGCGAAGTTTAGCGAACGCTATTCTTACACTTAAACCTCAATAAAGCATTGACATAGTGTGTCCATCCAGGAATGTCCTGAAATGACTATCAACAGACTATGAACAATAGTACCGTGAAATATTTGGATTATTCATCATATACACTAATAACTATACCTCTTACTAAATGAAAAGAGCTGTAACAAAACATCAAGTATTGAAAAAAAAAATTGTCAAAAAATAACAAAAAGATAACCTTGTTCAACTTCAAGCAACGGATCGGACAACAACAACAAGAAGCACCATAGAAATAGGGAAAAAACGGTTGAGATGTCAAGCATCTATGTATCGGTCTAGCAAGAGTTATTGTTGCAGTAAAAGTTGGATTTTAATCTTGTTTTTGAAACTGAGTGAACTTGAGATAACTATGTTATTTGGAATAGTATTGAACAGTGACGGAGCAGTAAATGAAAATCCTTTCCTAAAAATGGCACTGACATGACGTGGTATACTCAATTTGTGGGGAAATCGAATATTAATGTTGTGCACAGCGTTTCTGAAGATGAGTTTATCTTTCAAGTAAGCAGGTGTATTATGCCTCAAGATTTTATGAATGAATACCGCGAAGTGGAGAGTTCGTCGATTCTCCATATTTAACCATCTCAAGCTAGCAAAACTCAATGAAATATGATCATATTTTCTAAGTCCAAAGATAAACCGACAACAGGAATTCTGTAGTTTTTGTATGCGTGTCTTCTGAGTAACGCCAAGAAAGGGGCCATAAACGAAATCACAATAGTTGAAGAAGGATAGAACTAATGTATCCGATAGCATTATTCTCAGTTTCTTATCCAGAACATGTCTATTAGCGAATAGCAGTCGCAGACTAGAGAATGCTTTCCTAATCAGAGAGCTGGTTTGATTAACAAAATTCAGATTGCTGTCAATGAGAACCCCTAGAGATTTAACTGTTTCCTGGTATGGGATTACATTTCCATCTACCTGTATATTCAAGCATTTTTTCAACGTTTCCCTGTGACTGCCGAATAATATAAACATAGATTTTGAAGCATTCAGTTTAAGATTATGTTTTTTGGATAGAGTGAAAATGTTTTCCAAATCCATATTGATCTGAAATTCTGCGATATGATACTCATACGGTGAAAAATTATATTTGAGTTGAGTATCATCAGCATAACTTTGTACAGATCCATGTTCTATTTGAAGCAGTAGATCTGCTGTATAAATAATGAAAAGTAAAGGCCCTAATATTGACCCTTGCGGCACTCCAGAAGTTATATTCCTAGTTTGAGAGGTACGTCCCTTGAGAATAACTCTTTGTTGTCTTCCAGTTAGATATGACTTCATGATTTCAACAGCTGTATTAGAAAACCCATAGTAGTTCAGCTTTGCACATAACAGATTGTGATTGATAGTGTCGAATGCCTTAGAGAAGTCTAGCAGTAGCAATGCTGAACACTGCTTGCGATCCAAGTCACTGACTACATCATCTAATACATTGATGAGCGCTCCTGCTGTGCTATGGCCAGCTCTGAAGCCAGATTGAAATGACGGAATAATGTTTTTTCTCTCAACATAATCTTTTATTTGCCGAGACAATATTTTTTCTAAGATTTTCGACATAACTGTGAGCAAGCTTATAGGACGCAAGTCAGAGTGTGAGGTGGGAGTATTCGTTTTTGGGATTGGCTGAATAATCGAAGTTTTCCATTCATCAGGGAAATAATTTCTTTCTATACAAATATTTACAATATGTGTTATGAACGGATCTATGAATGGGCTGCAATATCTCAACATACTCAAGGATATATTGTCAGATCCATATGCATTAGATTTAATGCTATTCAGAGCTTCATTTACTTGTTCTATAGTAGCCAACGTAAAATGAAATTTGTTTTTCCGAAAATCGCTGTTTTTATTATTATATTCTGTTATGAGGTCATGACAATTGCTATTTTCAAATACAGAGATGAAATATTCATTTATCTCCTCCACATTTTCCAGGTGTCTTGGTATGTTAGAGCAATTATTAGTTTTTATATGAAGATCTTTCAAGGCACCCCACGTTTTCTTTATATTTTTTTGATTGGAAACATTCTTAATATACGCTTTTTTCTCAGATCTGATTGCATTCAATGTCATATTACGCAAGTTTTTGTAATACTCCCAGTCTTCTAATGATTTACTATTTTTGTATTTTTTGAGTGCTTTGTTTCTCTCCTTCATCATGATTTTTATTGGTTCAGTGAGCCATGGTGCTCTTGGTTTTGTTACTCTCACTGTTTTCATAGGTGCATGTTCATTGAAAATTCTCAGTATATACCCATTGAACAAGGTTATTTTATCACGAATATTATTAGCTCTTATAATATTGTACCATGGGATTAATATGAGATCATCATAAAAACGCTCGTAGTCAAAATTTTTGAAATCTCTAAACGTCACAAACTTAGGTACAAACTTCTCTGTATTCATATTGACCACACAACAAGCCATAGAATGATCAGAGATTTCATCTGCGTTTAGTACGTCTGATTCAATGAATATCGTCTGATCTGATACAAATATAGGATCTAGCAAATTGCTGGATGTTCTCGTGACTCTAGTTGGTTCTTTTATGACTTGCACAAAACCATAGCTCGTGAAACATTGTGATATCGGATTATTGGCGTTACACATATCGATATTGATATCTCCTAAACATATTACATAATCAAACATTGGTAGAAAGATCGACAACATACTATCAAATTCATCTACTGCTATCAAATTCATCTACTGCTCAATTATTCGCGAAATCCGATAGATTCCACGTGGGAATAGGACCTTGGTTGTGGTGTAAATATAAGTGTTCGAGGTAAATGAAAACATTCAATATGCAGCTCGGCGAAAAACTGTCTATTGTTTCGCCTGAGTGCTAGCCATGGCTATCCATTTTCAGGTTCAACTGTAATAATGCCAGTTTGTTTGGAAAGTTTGACATGCTCGAAAAAATCATGAAGATCACATAATCTGATGCCACTGATTTGATTTTAATGGAGCAATAATCTCTCGCTCAACTCAAACAAACAGAAAGCTTGATTTACTGCTCAAGACAAACGAATACAAAACAGTGGCACAAATCATTTAGGAACATAGCCTAATCTGAGTAATTCCCAAATTTGTTTCGATTTGGTTCCGACTGAAGGTTTTGATCGTTGATGTTGCATTTCTCGCCAGTCTTCGTTTTCATTTGTCATCCAACTTGATCAAACTGATTTGATTTTTCTGCTCCCTGAAAATTAGCGGAGCAAATAAATCCTGCTTCAAGTGATCTACGGCATCTTGCTCCAGTCAAACGAACACTCAGTCGTCAATTGCTCGTAACAAACGAACACATCACTTTTTAGCAGGGTGAATATGACAAACGAACAGGCCTATAGACAGCTTCCCGTCCTTGCTCCATAAATGACTACTATTCAGTTTTCGGCGGTGGATAGTCTCAAGTGAACTACCCAGTATTCTGTCTACCAGTCAGTTTTTTCTATTGATAAATCAATAAGGAATCATCGCAAACAAATTTATTATTTGCTTTCAGACGGTATAGAAGTTTTCGAGGAGTATTCGGTCGTTCGCAGAATCGAGTGCAAATAAAAACATGGAGTGGAAATAAATTAATATCGATCGCAGCAGAGCCATCAGGAAAGAGGAAAGTCATAACAATTGCCTCCGTTTAAGTGAGTAGGTACATTGGAAATAATGATCAGAGTTTCTAGGATTCCGTCCAGTAGCATCAGCAGATTCAGAAAATCACTCGAGTCCTCGGAATGTGCTAATGCACAGTTTTCCATTTGGAAATTGAATATCAATGTGAAGATGATGAGTTTTACCGAACTGTGAGAAAGCTACTATCGATAAGTTTATATCAATCGTTCGAATATGAAACTGAGAGTGAATTTGTTGAAATTACATGACGTGCGTGGATAATTGTAGAAAAAAAATGTGTATTTTGCACCCTTATATGGATCAAGAGAAGTGGGAGTGGGGGGGGAGAGGAGTATAGAAAGGGTCATTTTCAATCGAACGATAAATCGACAGTTACTCTTCCACTCAACCATGATGGTTCAAAAGTTATTCAATTCCTTTAATTCTATAAAAAAATTATCAAAATAAAACTATGTCACATTTGTGATTTTTTCTTCCGCAAATCTCATCCGCAAGGATTCACCTTGTCCCAGAAATAATTTTATGACCTGTACACTACACTGTTTCATGGCCTGCGTTACTTCGTATCAATTACCTGACAAAAATGGTGTTTTCCTTGAATATTGTTATTGAATGAAATATTTCAGTTGATTTTTGAATATAATAATAATAATAATAATAATAATAATAATAATAATAATAATAATAGGCACACGACACACGCTGCTCTCGGAGATCCAGAAAATCCCAGCGTGCCGTGATAAGGCACACATCCTGGCTGGTGGAATGCAGAAGGCCGTCATACTGGGATCATTGCGTCTACTTAGGGCACACGGTACTTGGTCCCAGTGATTACTCACCTCACAGGCTGTGAGGAGTAGTCACTGGATTTTATCCAGCACGACTCTGCGTGACGTCGGAGGCCGTAGGGTCGTGACTGGAATTATATGAACTAAATAATAATAATAATAATAAATCGTCTTTATTTTTTCTTTGGTACAAAGTAGGCGAAGTTTAGCTATTGCTACTCTTACACTCAACCCAAATTGCACAATCGACAGAAAACTCAGCTAATGAAGACATTCATGAGGCAATAAAGAACACAATCATCGTAA